ACAGGGCCTCCTCTGCCACCACCAGTGAGGAAGACCCCTGCAACTTGGATTGTCACCAGGCCTGCATCCTCCCTCACTGCATCCACAGCTGCCCAAACAATCTCAGACCCCTTCAGAAGACCCATATTGCCTGCAGTCTCTGAGACTGCTGGCCTCTCCAGACAGCCAGTCCTGCCTGCTAGTCAGGCACCACCTGAGAATGCTGGCCAGGCTTCTTCAGACCCTCCGACCGCAGCTCACACTACCGGCACAGCTGTTGGTACTGGCAGTTCTTCAGTCTGGGCGAGAGCAACGCTCTACAAGCATAAGCTGAAGGACTACCCATCGCGAGTGGGAGCCAAAGTGTCACGTGTGCAAAATCTTCCAATATGCACAATCTGTGACCAGCCAACACAGGGACATAAAAAATACAAAAAAAAGGCTTTGTGCCCAATAAAAATGATGTCCCCGTCCAAAGGTCTGGACAACAGAGTGTACAGTAGCTATGAGCACTTTACCTCTGTTGTCGACAATTTGGAGCAATAACCTGTTAAAATGCTGGAATTTATCTGTAAATAAGTTGTGGTTGTATTGTATATATTGTAAATAGTTTTCATTAGTGTGAGTTTTTATTGATGTAGTTCAATGACGACTTGTGTTGTATAATTAAACCCAGCTGTACAGGACACACTGGGGCAACACTCTGTACTGCCGCACAAAGAGGGGTGATCTTGTTGATGCTGCTGTGGTACAGAAGATGAAAATGGCAAAGCAATACGCACCAGCACAACAGGACATCAGTGCGCAGAACAACAGGCTCACGTACATACTGGTGAAACTGCTGTGGCTGCGCTCCCCTACAAAAGCTCTCACAAGTCCCGAGAAGATCAAAATCTTAAAGGCTTATGAGAGAATCCAGCACCGTGTGCTGGTGGTCACAAGGAGAGGCTCCTCAACCTCCACGCAACACGAAAGCCATCCACAATCACTAAACTGACATCCATCACATCTACAGACCTGCCTCCAGCACCACAACAGCCAGCAGTCCTCCCTCCACCAGACCACCTGGTAGTCAAATTTGTGCACACACCCAGCACAGCAGGGACAAAAGACCCCTGCCACCTGTACCGTCACCAGGCCTGCATCCTCCCTTGCTGCATCCACAGCAGCCCCAAAGATTGCATGCTCCTCCAAGAGACCCATATTGTCTGCAGTCTCTGGGATTGCTAGTCCCTCCACACAGCCCATCCTGCCTGCTAGTCAGGCAGGCCTTGAGAATGCTGGAGAGCCTTCACCAGACCCTCCAGCCAAAACTCACTACTAGCAGTTCTACATACTGGGCAAAAGCGATGCTGTACAAGCGTAAGCAGAAGGACTACCCATCACAAGTAGGAGCCAAAGTGTCCCGCATTCAAAATCTGCCAGTATGCACAATCTGTGGCCAGCCAACACAGGGACATTTATGAAGATATAAGTGTAAATAAACAGCACTTAGGAAAAGTCAAAGCATTATCAAACAAGCACTTTTTAAATATGTAACTTCTCATTTCGTTTTCATCAACATCAAAACCATTTATAGTTCTATTCTGATTAGGGCTGGACTTGAACACCCGAATATCTGGTCGTTGTGGTGGTATCAGGATATCAATTTTGCAATCCGAATATTCGCCCACCGCCACGCCCAATGATCAATTATTTGAAATAATCCATCTGTCTTGTAGCCATAAACAAATGCCGCTGTGAGTGCATTAAAAAGAAACACAAAAAACAAAGAAACCATAATTTCAAATGTGCCATCACAGATAGTAAAGTGTTAATGGTTAAACACACACAAATGATACCCTTGAGAGAATTTCCCCCTGACTGACCAAAACTTACTAGAAATTCACCCCTAGTCTTCATGCAGTTCTGCGGTGGGTGTATTAAGCATCAAACCAGCGAGTCTGTGAGGCCACCTGCAGCAGGCAACCCCACAAAACCACACGGAGTGCCCCCTAGATAGCTGCCCGAAGACAACTAACACTAACCGCTCTCCACAGCACTACCAAAACAAAAAAATGACACAACCTAAAGAGGACGTGTCCTTTAGCCTACCGGAGAAATCTCAAATAGAGCATCAAGACAACAACACTCACCTTCTGGACGTCACCAAACAATCAGTGTTGGGTCACAAACAACACTGCTCCCAATCAACACAAAGTGTGCCTCCCCCAAACCCACTGCAACCTTCCAAAGCATGCAGCAGAGCCAAGCCAGCACTCAGCTGGACCACATCCACTAATCAGTGGGAAAACAACCACATGTGCCCACTGCTACCGAAGACACGAAAGACAAACAAAAATACCTGTATGGATGTGATCTCATCGGACGGGCCCCCATTTGTTACAACCTGGCTAAAAGCGGCCACAACAAAAGGAGAGAAACATCAAGTATCACGATCAAAGCTTGTTTTTAATTCACTAAAATTAAACCAAATTACAGCCAAACCAGTATGGGGTTGTGAGAATACACAGAGTCAGTGGTGTGTGTGTGTGTGTGTGTGTGTGTGTGTGATGTGTGTATGAATTATGTCTGTGCAAGTGTTGTAAATGCAAACATCCTAAAAGAAGAAACTGACCCATTACCAGACTGGTGTGTTACCTGTGGAGGGAAGAAGAGAGTGATTAGAC